GCAGCATTGGAAAGAGCATATCTGAAAACCTCTAAAAAAGTGTTTACAGGCTTTCCGATTGCTTCTATAGCAAATATCAAAATCCTTAGCCAAAATTATTAAGCTATGCTTCGACTTTAACGTTTCGTTAGATTCAACAAGTTTTTGCTCAGAAAAACCTATTAATCGTACATCATTTGATGTAGTTTCTTGCGGTGACTCTGAATATATCATTTTTATTAAATAAAAACATTTCTGGATCGAGATAAATGAAAAATACCTGGAAAAGCCAAGGTTTTTGGAAAACCCATATCTAAGTCCGGGAACGTTTATGCTAATTTACGCTAACATCATATACGTGCCATATACGGTTGAACATTTCCTAAAAGTTCCAGAATATTTCGAGACTGGATGTAAGTGGGGGGTCGATTTTGCTGAACCCACCTCTAGGAAAACTTACCTGCGAAAATGTCTCGGCTAACTTTTCATGAAGGAAAGGTTCCAAATCAAAAAACATTTTTAACAATCGATAGCCCGCGCTGTCAAGATTCTTATTATATCATCTGTTAATTTGTAAACACTTTCTCCAGTTTTAAAAATTGAAGTTTGTTTTATAACGGTAGTTTTCAAATCAATTTTTGCCGATGACTTTTTTACCGAATAAAAACAACTATGGAAAACACTTTTTTACCGTTAGATACAGCACATTAAACTGTATATAAAACACTATTCAAATCACCGAAAAACTCGCTTTCGAAATTTTCCCGAATGTCCGCCTGGATGCACGCTGTGCCTTGTTTCATAACTTTCATCTATGCTTTTGTGTTAACCCACATTGACTAAAATAAGTACATATAGTTTTGGCTACACCAAATTATAGATTTTTAATACCAATTGCTTCATTCAAGAAACTGGTTCACATGGTGAAAGTTCTGATATGTTTGTTTAGAGAAACGAAAGCTCTTTCTCGTTCAATGTCGCGAGATACAGAAATGAAACAATTGGCATTAAAAGTCAATAATCTGGACACGATGTTCTGCTTAAAATATTCTCAAATCTCTCTCTCTTCTGGTACATAACAAATATAATAAACACCGTCATAACAATCTCAAGTTGCACATGGCTGACTCGTAAGTGACTCGAGTCAGTTTATCAAGTTTACCGAGTGTTTCATCTTGAGCCTGAGTCCGAGTCAAAGACAAATACAACTCGATCTCTGTCCTAAAGGTTGAAAATTCTTATTATACACTATCCCTAGGTTATTATTATTCTTTAAATTTAAAATATTCTATGAAAAAAAAACGAGTTATTTACCAACAATCGTATTTTGCAAGACCTTTCCTGTTTTGTTCACACTGAAAATAATTCATTTTTTTTATTATATGATCAATTCTTCATGTAACCAACATATTGTACATACCATAATATCATTTCGAACGGGACAATTCGCGGGCATTGAGAGAATGCATGTATATGGACCACTACCATGAAATAAAACTCTTGGTGGAAATATTTGACCATGACCAAGTATAGCACAATATCTAAACAAAACAAAAAAGAAGGAAATAGTGCACAGTGATTGAACTTGTGAAATATAAAGAAAAAAAAAGAATGATTTTTACTCGTAAATAAGTCGAACAGCTCGTACTGCATCAATGATAACACCCTTTTCTGTTACGTATGGTTGTAGTTCTTTAGCATCTTCAATATCGTCATCAAAAGATAACGAACGAAAATAAAATTCATTTTGTAACATCTAAATGGGACATCTCTGTAAATGAGGAAAAAAAGTTTGTAAAATCTTTGTTTTACTTACTGTTTCAATCTCTTCATATTCACGATATTCTGCCAAAGCTTTGTCATCGTCAGATGACATCAATATTATAAATGATGCATTTTTTTTAGCACGAGCTCGTCCTTTTGACTGCATATATGAGCAAAAATTATTTGGTTTGTTAAATCGAAATACAAGATTACACTGAGGTATATCAAGACCTTCTTCAACCACAGCTGTTGCTATTAAACAATTTATTTTTCCAGTACGAAATTCATTGATAGTTTGACGTTGATGTTTTGCACTCATTACATCTTTAATACCAAATGATTTTGTACCGGCAACATATTTTGATTTTATACTGTTATACTCCGGATATCTTTTTTGACACACATTCTCGAATAATTCTGATAATATAATAGCCGTACATATTCTTTCAACAAAAACGATACATTTCATAGGTGAACTACTATAATCATATGTTTCAAGTGATAATGTTAGAGCATATTGTTCAACAATCTGTTCCAATAGTGAACAAACTTTTTCACTATACAAGAGACGATAATTTGTTGAATTTGTTTCAACTAAAGTGTTTAATATACTATCAGTCATTAATTCAATTTTATTATGAACATTCATAATCAATTGTTGAGATGATAATTTATTAAAATTCAATTGATTATTTAAATCAATTTTTAAACAATTTTTTAAATGTAAAGATGCTAAATATAGTCCCATTAAACCTAGATCATTACCCATATGTTTAATATTATCAATATGTCGTTTTAATTTTGGTACAGTTATAGATTGTGATTGACATATTTGCATATAACGTGCCGATTGTTCATTATAATTAAACATGTTTGTATTTTGATAATCTGTAAATAACATTAATTCACTTAATTGATACTCTTGTTCATCTCGTTCACTACGACTTTCTGAATAATGTTCTGCAATTTCTAATGATATTTGATCTAAGATCTAGTAATACAAAAAAAAAAAATTGAACAACGACTATATATTAATATTGAAAACATGATTTTAGTATATACCTCAAATGCCATTTTTATACTATCATTACAATTTGATTCATATGGTACACATGAAATATGTTTTACTAAAGCCGATGTTCCATATCGACGACTCTCTTCTCGAGATGAACCACTTTCTACTCGAGATTTTAATGTTGATTCAAGTTGTTTCATTTCTTTTTCTAATTTATTAGCTTTAATTTTTCTTGATGTAATTGATGCTGTTAAACCAAGTATTCGTGGCATATTACCAGAAATATTATTATAATGTTTATTCATCACGGAAGCGTATGGATCAGCGCCAGTGGCATGATGACATTCATCAAATATTAATAAATTAACTTGTGTTAAAGCTTTTTAAAATAAGAAATGAAATAATATACTACTTTAAGTCAAAATTAAATCAAAAATAAATTTATACACGTACAAAAATATGCATGATCTAATATATTAACAAATATTTGTGCAGTCATTACAAGTATTTGATGTGTTTCAAGTTCTTTATCCCATTCAGATTTGTTCCATAGATCGACACCCATATCACCATAGTATTTTCCTACACTTATTTCTTTACCAAGATGCATAGAAATATAGTCACCTTGTTGATGAACAAGTGTTACTTAAAACAAAAAAAATAGATTATCATTAGGTCGCCAGTCTCATAAAAAGTACGCTTAGAAAATGACTCTATCAGAATTGTTGAAATAAAAAAGAAAGTGAACGGATTAAAACGTAACAGCTGTTAGTACTCTTAAAAACTGAGGCATATCGTTTTTCAAATACTTTTGTTTTAAAATCAAGCACGTTGTAAGTGGATAGAGCATAATACAGGTATTGCACTGTGAAAATTAGACACTCTAGTGTCGCAAAACTGTAAGAGATATGAAAAATCCATAATTTTAATTGAATTCTCTAGTGCTCTTCATTTTTTGATGGAAATCTTGGTCATTTTTTAGGTGAAAACTAAAAAAAACTAAAAATCCTCGGAAAGGATTGATATCTACGTCGTTCGACCCAGTTTTTCACGCTGATTCCGAATATGATATTTATATTGCATAATAAATTACTTCTGGTGAGAAAAACCGAGATTTAGGGACAGAATTTCACCTTTCCACTCCAGGTATGGGAAAAAAGAGTATTCTCAGTAAGATAAGAATATTAGAAAGAAAGGCGATGCGTACTTTTGTTCGCCTTTAAATGCTGATTCGAATGGCGTATGACGATCGGAGAAAAGTTTCAAAACCAGGGAAGAGATAGGTTTGCGAGAGAGGTAGCTCATTTTATCGAGTGCTTACTCTTGTCAAACTTGTGCAACACAGGTATTTTGGTTTTTGTGACTCAATGGTACATGATTAGACTCAATTTTTGATGCGGAATCCGAATATATCAAATTCGAAAAATTACAGTGAACGAAAGGAGGCAACATCTCAAGTTTTCTTAGAATGATGCAAATTTTTTGTTTTTTCGGTGCCCCTAGTATTTTGAAAATTTCTCCCCCCCAAAACTTGATCGAATTCGAAAAAAATCTTATATAAACATCAGTGCACGCTTATAAAATAAATTTATATATTTCTACTGAGTTGAACAAACTTAGTAACCATGTATGTATTTGCTCTACAAAAGTAAGAGCATGGCTGCAGAATACGTACAAAATACAACATGAAGATAAATGTAATAAGTATTTGACTGAAGCTTTTTGCAGTAAATTTTACTTGCATTGCGTCTAACTTATCAGGTACTTGACAAAAAACATTTAATTGAAAAAGTTCACAAGTACTGTCCTCATTACTTAACCCAAGTACTTGGCTCAAGTATATCCACTAGGGAATGCAACGGCATCTGGCAATTAAACAAAAAAAATGAAAAACAAAACACATCTACCTTGCTTAACCAGAAATATGGTTCGTTTACCACCATGACAAAGTTTTGAATTTGTTGATCCTAATAATTCTTTTATCAACATAACGGATATATAGGTCTTTCCACTGCCTATAAATAAATAAAAAGAAACAAAAAATAAAATGTTTACCTTATACTGAACAAGAGAACTCAGCAGTACACTACCCATTGCTAAATGTTCCACGTGACTTGTCTCACCAAAATGACAAAATAAAAAAACGCGTTTTTTTATTTTCTCATTTTGGTGAGACAAGTCACGTGGAACATTTAGCAATGGGTACATACCCGTTGGTAAACAGACGATAAGATTTTCATCTATGGCTTGTGCCACCATCTCCGTCTAGAATTAGTAACTAAAAATAGATCGTCAATAATTAAGTTAATTGCTTGGAGACCTGATATGATCGTGGAAGAACAGGTTGATCATTGGGCTTTGGTAGAGTGTCTTGCTCAGTTTCCATTTTTCTAAAGTAAACAAAATGTACACAATTGTTTTTTATATCATTGAATAATATAAGCTCAAACATGATCAGACATAAGCAGTTTTTTTTATTAGAATGTGAAAACAGTTTAATTCTATATGTTAGACTGAAGATTGTAATGAACAATGATCGGACAAAGTTCGAGTGATGAGAGAAGTCATCCAAGGGGGATTAGCTGCTTTGGGGATTTTTCTGAGACTTGTTTCTCAAAAAAAACTTAAGTAGAAAATCTGGCTCAAGTCAAATTTTCTACTTAATTGTATTCCTGAAAGAAACTGAAGTGTAATTTTCTGTTTACTTAACTTAAGTGAAATTTTTCACTTAAGTTTTTTTGATAAACATGTCCTACTTAAGTCGTTTCGAGAAACAGGCTTCCAGTTTTCACCGATTTCCTGTGATTTGTTTGGAAAATGGGAATAGTATTTCATTGGTAAATAGTGCGGAAACTGCTTTATTTGTACAATGGAATCAGACATTCCATTCAAAATTTAAAGAAAAAAACGATAAAATCATTAGCGATTTTTTAGGATTGTAGCGATTGTTAGCGATTTTCGATTTAAACCGATTTTTTAAGCTCAAAACTCAGTTGTTTCTCCCTTGGAAACAAAACACAATGAAATCAAATCTTCGTGATGACACTATTACAATACAATAATATATTACAATATTTACAAAGTAAAGGCAAGTAAAATTTTCTGTATGTAATGATTTTGTATCAAATGTTTACCTCCGTTTGAGTGGTGGAGAATTAGAAGAGGAACGAGATTCCTGTAAAACATTCACATATAAAGATGAATAATGATCATTTGAGCAAAGAGTCTGTCTTTATAGTTTTTTATTCAATGAGCAGAATATCTATTTTTTTCTTCTTACCATATTGAATTCGTGCGAAATCTGTGTATAATTGAAATAGGTTCTTGATCATGTGTTTTGTCTTGAAAAACTATGGACAGCTGTTAAATTTCTTTTTTCTAATCAGTATAAATAAACGACTGCAACATTATGCGATGTCGTCAAATTTAATGCACTGCATTTACTTTTCTCTTTCCCACTGCATTTTCCCATTTTCTTAAATGCGTCGATGACTCAGTCATCATTCACTTGCGTTGGATTACATTTTGTCCAATAAGAATGGTCGAACAATCCTCTATAACTGAGTGTTCAAAGCGTCATCTGCAGACTTTTTTTGTAGATTATGGCCTAAATTAAGTAAAATATAACAATTAAGAACAGAAAAAATTTAGATGACTATTGCCACCTCTCGAATATACTACTGAAAAATGAGTGTGTGGTGAAAGAATTATCAAGCTCATCAAAGGACGGGAGTCGATAAGAGACAAAATCGGCGCCCTCACAGATCAACCTCATTTTAACCCATCTGAGAGAGAGTAGTTTTTGTCTGCGATTAACCCCAACATTTTTCGGTGA